CTATCACTTCCTCTCCTTTACTATATATTGCTTCTATATAATTTAAGGTACTATAATTACCTGGAGCTCGTCCCAACAACCTGTAGTGACTGGCACCCATGCCAGGGTTAACGAGGGCCACCCGCATGTGTGTGTGTGGGGGGGGGGGGGTAGGTAGTGACTGGCACCCATGCCAGGGTTAACGAGGGCCACCCGCATGTGTGTGTGTGGGGGGGGGGGTAGGTAGTGACTGGCACCCATGCCAGGGTTAACGAGGGCCCCCGCATGTGTGTGTGTGGGGGGGGGGGGTAGGTAGTGACTGGCACCATGCCATAACGAGGGCCACCCGCATGGTGGTGGGGGGGAGGGGGTAGGAGGACCCATCCCCACCATCAACACCAACCTATCCAACACCTGCAACACCTCCCCCCCCCCCACAACCATCCACTGAATATTTCAGAGACTTGAGTTGTAACAGTTCTTGCACAAGCTCTATACTTCTCAATGACAAAAATATACCTATGTTCAGCTGACCAGGACAACACGTGGGTGTAGCAGGTGACCAGGACAACACCGAGGTGTGTAGCTGACCAGGACAACACCTGGGGTGTAGCAGGTGACCAGGACAACACCTGGGTGTAGCAGGTGACCAGGACAACACCTGGGTGTAGCAGGTGACCAGGACAACACCTGGGTGTAGCAGGTGACCAGGACAACACCGAGGTGTGTAGCTGACCAGGACAACACCTGGGGTGTAGCAGGTGACCAGGACAACACCTGGATGTAGGTGACCAGGACAACACCTAGGGTGTAGCTGGTGACCAGGACAACACCTGGGTGTAGCAGGTGACCAGGACAACACCTGGGTGTAGCAGGAGACCAGGACAACACCTGGGTGTAGCAGGTGACCAGGACAACACCACCAGGACAACACCTGGGGTGTAGTGACCAGGACAACACCGAGGTGTAGGTAGGTGACCAGGACAACACCTGGGTGTAGCAGGTGACCAGGACAACACCTGGGTGTAGCAGGTGACCAGGACAACACCTGGGTGTAGCAGGTGACCAGGACAACACCTGGGTGTAGCAGGTGACCAGGACAACACCTGGGTGTAGCAGGTGACCAGGACAACACCTGGGTGTAGCAGGTGACCAGGACAACACCTGGGTGTAGCAGGTGACCAGGACAACACCTGGGTGTAGCAGGTGACCAGGACAACACCTGGGGTGTAGGTCACCAGGACAACACCTGGGGTGTAGCTGACCAGGACAACACCGAGGTGTAGGTGACCAGGACAACACCTGGGTGTAGCAGGTGACCAGGACAACACCTGGGTGTAGCAGGTGACCAGGACAACACCTGGGTGTAGCAGGTGACCAGGACAACACCTGGGTGTAGCAGGTGACCAGGACAACACCTGGGGTGTAGGTCACCAGGACAACACCTGGGGTGTAGGTGACCAGGACAACACCTGGGGTGTAGGTGACCAGGACAACACCTGGGTGTAGGTGACCAGGACAACACCTGGGTGTAGGTGACCAGGACAACACCGAGGTGTAGGTGACCAGGACAACACCTGGGTGTAGGTGACCAGGACAACACTGGGGTGTAGGTGACCAGGACAACACCTGGGGTGTAGGTGACCAGGACAACACCTGGGTGTAGGTGACCAGGACAACACTTGGGGTGTAGGTGACCAGGACAACACCTGGGTGTAGGTGATCAGGACAACACCTGGGTGTAGGTGACCAGGACAACACTGGGGTGTAGGTGACCAGGACAACACTTGGGGTGTAGGTGACCAGGACAACACTGGGGTGTAGGTGACCAAGACAACACCTGGGTGTAGGTGACCAGGACAACACTGGGGTGTAGGTGACCAGGACAACACCTGGGGTGTAGGTGACCAGGACAACACTTGGGGTGTAGGTGACCAGGACAACACTGGGGTGTAGGTGACCAGGACAACACCTGGGTGTAGCAGGTGACCAGGACAACACTTGGGGTGTAGGCGACCAGGACAACACCTGGGTATAGCAGGTGACCAGGACAACACTGGGGTGTAGGTGACCAGGACAACACCTGGGTGTAGCAGGTGACCAGGACAACACTGGGGTGTAGGTGACCAGGACAACACCTGGGGTGTAGGTCACCAGGACAACACTGGGGTGTAGGTGACCAGGACAACACCTGGGTGTAGCAGGTGACCAGGACAACACCTGGGTGTAGCAGGTGACCAGGACAACACCTGGGTGTAGCAGGTGACCAGGACAACACCTGGGTGTAGCAGGTGACCAGGACAACACCTGGGTGTAGCAGGTGACCAGGACAACACCTGGGGTGTAGGTAACCAGGACAACACCTGGGGTGTAGGTGACCAGGACAACACCTGGGTGTAGGTGACCAGGACAACACCTGGGTGTAGGTGACCAGGACAACACCGAGGTGTAGGTGACCAGGACAACCCCTGGGTGTAGGTGACCAGGACAACACTGGGGTGTAGGTGACCAGGACAACACCTGGGGTGTAGGTGACCAGGACAACACCTGGGGTGTAGGTGACCAGGACAACACTTGGGGTGTAGGTGACCAGGACAACACCTGGGTGTAGGTGACCAGGACAACACCTGGGTGTAGGTGACCAGGACAACACTGGGGTGTAGGTGACCAGGACAACACTTGGGGTGTAGGTGACCAGGACAACACTGGGGTGTAGGTGACCAAGACAACACCTGGGTGTAGGTGACCAGGACAACACTGGGGTGTAGGTGACCAGGACAACACTTGGGGTGTAGGTGACCAGGACAACACTGGGGTGTAGGTGACCAGGACAACACCTGGGTGTAGCAGGTGACCAGGACAACACTGGGGTGTAGGTGACCAGGACAACACCTGGGTGTAGCAGGTGACCAGGACAACACCTGGGTGTAGCAGGTGACCAGGACAACACTGGGGTGTAGGTGACCAGGACAACACCTGGGTGTAGCAGGTGACCAGGACAACACTTGGGGTGTAGGTGACCAGGACAACACCTGGGTATAGCAGGTGACCAGGACAACACTGGGGTGTAGGTGACCAGGACAACACCTGGGTGTAGCAGGTGACCAGGACAACACCTGGGGTGTAGCAGGTGACCAGGACAACACTGGGGTGTAGCAGGTGACCAGGACAACACCAGGGGTGTAGGTGACCAGGACAACACCTGGGGTGTAGGTCACCAGGACAACACTGGGGTGTAGGTCACCAGGACAACACTGGGGTGTAGGTGACCAGGACAACACCTGGGTGTAGCAGGTGACCAGGACAACACTGGGGTGTAGGTGACCAGGACAACACCTGGGGTGTAGGTGACCAGGACAACACCTGGGGTGTAGGTCACCAGGACAACACTGGGGTGTAGGTCACCAGGACATCTGGGGTGTAGGTCACCAGGACAACACCTGGGGTGTAGGTGACCAGGACAACACCTGGGGTGTAGGTCACCAGGACAACAATGGGGTGTAGGTCACCAGGACAACACCTGGGGTGTAGGTGACCAGGACAACACCTGGGGTGTAGGTGACCAGGACAACACCTGGGGTGTAGGTGACCAGGACAACACCTGGGGTGTAGGTGACCAGGACAACACCAGGGGTGTAGGTCACCAGGACAACACTGGGGTGTAGGTGACCAGGACAACACCTGGGGTGTAGGTGACCAGGACAACACCTGGGGTGTAGGTCACTAGGACAACAATGGGGTGTAGGTCACCAGGACAACACTGGGGTGTAGGTCACCACCAGGACAACACCTGGGGTGTAGGTGACCAGAACAACACCTGGGGTGTAGGTGACCAGGACAACACCAGGGGTGTAGGTCACCAGGACAACACTGGGGTGTAGGTCACCAGGACAACACTGGGGTGTAGGTGACCAGGACAACACCTGGGTGTAGGTGACCAGGACAACATCTGGGTGGTCACCAGGACAACACTGGGGTGTAGGTGACCAGGACAACACCTGGGGTGTAGGTGACCAGGACAACACCTGGGGTGTAGGTGACCAGGACAACACCTGGGGTGTAGGTGACCAGGACAACACCTGGGTGTAGCAGGTGACCAGGACAACACCTGGGGTGTAGGTGACCAGGACAACACCTGGGGTGTAGGTGACCAGGACAACACCTGGGGTGTAGGTGACCAGGACAACACCGTGGGTGTAGCAGGTGACCAGGACAACACCTGGGTGTAGCAGGTGACCAGGACAACACCTGGGTGTAGCAGGTGACCAGGACAACACCTGGGGTGTAGGTGACCAGGACAACACCTGGGTGTAGCAGGTGACTAGACAACACCTGGGTGTAGCAGGTGACCAGGGCAACACTGGGGTGTAGGTCACCAGGACAACACTGGGTGTAGGTCACCAGGACAACACCTGGGGTGTAGGTGACCAGGACAAC